ATTTTTTTTTAAAATTTTTTTTTTTTTTTTTTTTTTTTTTTTTTTGTCTTTGCTGGAGAGGCGGCAAGTGTTTACATTTAATGACTACATTGTCTAGAGATCAAGAATACCTTTTATTTGCTTCCATATCTTATAGAGCAGAGCTTCTTAAAGTGAGCCAGTGGAGAGGGACTGAAGAGGGAAACACTGGGACCAGGACTTTGGGTTTGGGTGTGTGGTTTAGTCTAAAGGAATCATCCAGTAGTTGACTATGCAAATGGCATCCTCCTGGATGCTGGCACTGTTCTTTCTTTTACCTTCCATGGTGTGACTACAGAGAGGAAAGAGAGAGAACCCACGCTGGCTCGGCTACATGTTCCCGACCTGTTAGCTTCCCCATTAATTCCAAACTGGAAGCAGTCAGTGACCCTGGCTTCCTTGCCTCTTTCTCTGTGTTAGGAAACCAGGAAACCTAACTTCCTCATCTGGCATTTTTCTTTGTGTCCTTCGAGTTTGCACCTTGGACAGAGGAACTCAGGGTTTTCCCTTATTTTCTTTGGCATTTCCTTTTGTCATTTGAATAGCCGTATCCCTATAATGTCATTACCTGGAAGAGGTCGGGATCTTTAGTGGCAGAACGCCTTTAACAGGGGCTGAGGTAATGAACCCGTCCTGGACGGTGCTAAAACAAAGCTGTTGGGTGTAGGTCTGCCATGTGTAACAGACACCCCATGTTTCCCTCCTCCCCAGATCCTGGTCTACGGCCTGGAAGCGGAGCGCTACGTCTCGAAGCTGGGTAACGCGCTGGGCGACTTCACATGCGTCAACCTCAGGGACAGCCCTCCCAACCTCCTGGTCAGTGGCAACATGGACAGGAGGTATGTCTGGGTAACCAGATTGTGTAGCCACAGCAGTTTCTGCCACGGCCTGGCCACCCACCTCCACAATGCTCCCCCCCCCGCTCATGTTCCTCAGTTCCCACTCCACAGCTTTGTCCACCCGAATTCAGCCCGATCCCATAAATACTGTGTCGGTGAACTTGGAGGACAGAGTCTTGGGCTAGCTAATAGTTGGACGGCGCCATCCCTGCCCCGTTTCCCCAGCACCACGGGAAGGTGGTCTTGGAAGCCATTTGGTGGATGCAGTTGGTGGAGGTCCAGCGAGACCACTTGGAGTATCTTTTGTCTCCCTGCTGCAAAATTTGTTTGGCATTTAAAAGCTCACTTTCTAATATTAAAAACAATAACCTAAGGGATGAATCATGTTCAACAAAATAGGGTTGCCTGCCAGATGATGTCAAGAGTGTGTTTTAGAACACTGTGGTGTCCCTCCAGTGGTGGGGGAAAGAGACCGCACGTGAACAGGTTCCAGTTTCTATTTAGGTGATTAGCAGTCTTCTCTTCAATGCATTGGCTCGGGGAGTCGGATTTTCCCGCTGCAGGGCCCGTGCCAGCCATGGACGCTCCAGGAACCATCAGCGCGAAAGGATTAAAGTGTTTGAAAAGACTCTGAGTCCAAATTTTAGGGTTTTTCCCCCCCCCTCCCCATGCCCTCTCCCTTTGTCTTTTCCTTTCCTTTCTAATTTTTGGCTGGTTATCTGCCATGTCTGATCCAGTCCCCTGAAGAGAGGTAGCATGGCTAGAGGCCAGGGTCTGTGGCGCCCCCTCCCCCGGGCCAGCCCCAGGCTGCAGGTGGTGGGCTGCTCGGTGGGGGGATCAGATCGCGAGCGGGTGCTCCTTCGTGCCAAACCCCACATCTCTGATGCACCATTGTAGCAGCTTGCAAAAATAATGATTTTGTCAAATAATATTTTCAACTCCTGACCTTCACCCCTCTACTACCCCCTTCCCTTAGAGTCAGAAGAAAATGTGAGTAGCTTTCCTGAAAGAAAAGACGATCACTTTTCTCAAGGCCTCCTAAAATGGCCAGTATTTCCAAGGCTTGAGAATTGAACTCCTCAGTGTATCCAGTTTTTCTCTTTAAAAAAACTCACACTAGGCTTGATAAGTGGCCCCACGTGTGCCCCAGCAAATGAAACACATCAGTTTGTAGTTTTAGTCTCACGTCTTAGTTTCCAGACTGAGCTACACAAAGGCTCCAAGCTTATCTTATAGGATCTCCCCACAGGGACCTCGCAGCTACTCGCTTTCCAGGAGAGCACATGCAGAGGGCTCTGGGGCATGCAGATGGAAGGGTTGGGGATCGTAGGTTAGGCTGGCTTCAGACATTGTTTACCAGCAAGGCCATTTAGGTGGTCAGGCAGAGCCACAGTCCCAGGAAACCAGGATGGTGTTCCAGAGAGGAGACCTCTGCCTTCTGCATACCTTAGCCCGGTCAGCCCTAGAACCGAGAAGCCAGGCTGTCGCCACCGCTGTCAGCTGTGCCCGGGGCTGGCGGTTAGTCCGAGGTGCATGTACTCAGTATATACACTCAGTGGAGCTGACTTTCCCCCTGGAGCAGGGCTGCCTGGTTATGCGACCGTTGCCAGAGAGGAGCCAACTGCTCGGTGTGAAAGGGTTCTCGGTTATTGTGCGTCCAGATCGGACCACGTTAAGTCCAATTTGCTAGTAACCAGTGTTGTTGTTTTAAACCTCGGCTCTCTGGATGAAAAGAACAGACTCGTGGTGTGGAGTCGGGGCGGGGACTCTCACAGTGGCCTTCAGTCGGGGCAGCACGAGACCCGCGTGCCAGCCGTTTGGCCACTGCCCGTGTGTCCGTGCTCACCCTCGCAGGGAAGAGGACTCCTGGCGTCCGAGCAGCAGGGCTGGCTGTGTGAGTTCGAAACACCGGTACACACTGCGCATCTGGGAGAAGGACAGAGTAAGGGACCTGCACTTTTAAACGAAGGGGAGGGAGACATTGTGGGGTGTTTTGGTTTTTTCTCAAACGCTTCATAGCTACGAGCAGGATCTCATCAGAGAGGGACACCCAGGCTCGTACAGCTTATGTTTTATTTCAAAAGGGGGAGTAAGGGGTCAGATACTATGAAGAGAACTATATCCTTGTCTGTTACTTAATGGCTGATGCAATTTTTGAAAACCTGGAACTCTCCTTTTTTTTTAATTTAAAAAACTGAATTTCCAGTGCATTCTCTCAGTACTTTGTAAATAACTTGAGAATGAAATGGGCTGTAAAGATACATAAACCTGTCCCAGATTAAGACAAAAATAGTTCTGCATTAAAATAAGGAAGTCAGCTTGAGTTAGTTTGCAAACATGGGTGGAATTTGCAAGGAGTTTCTGTTTTGGTGGGGGTGGGGGTGACAATGGTGGAAATAGGCTGAAATTAAAAATGAAAAAAGGTCACCTAGCCTGTCACCCTTTCCAGAAAAAAAACAGAAGGTAGTGTCTGATGAAGATTAAGAGCCTGATTAGGGTGGAAACTGAGTTATTATTGGATTGTGCTTTTCCCTTGCTGGGCGAAAAGGGCTATATATAAAGTGGGGGGGGGGGAGGCTTTGCACAAGAGTTTTAACAGTGTAGATCAGTGAGTTTTTCTAAATGCATATTTGGTCTTTCCTGCTAAAGCAAGAAGCAAGCAATGAGTAATGTCAGAAGAGAAGTGGCTTAGAGTAGGTATTGGACTTGTGTCTGTTCTACTTACCACAGTATCTCCAAGTGCTCAGTGAGTGCACAATATGTTTTGTATTTATTCTAAGACATACTTTTTTTCCTTACATTTTCACTTCTGTGAAATCGGCATCTTTAAATTGGCAGAATTTTTAAATGTTACGTAATGGTGCTTCCTACAGTCAGTGGTGTTTTCAGTGGAATGAAAGCATGTATTTGTTCAGCGAAGGCAAAATGACCGAACAGTTTAGGAATTAGACCATTTATGAGAAGCCTGAAGGGCTTACCAAGAGAAATCAACAGGAAATGGATTGCTTTTTTTTTAAAGTATAAGCTCTGTTTGGGGTTCATTGAGCACTTAGAATCTGTACATTTATGTCTTCCACCAGACTTGGGAGGTGTTTGGCCATTCTTCAAATATTTTTTCCTGCGCTAATCCCTTTGTCTTCTTCTGGGACTCTGAACCTTTCAGTGTTTCCTCACAGGCCGCTGAAGCTCCGTTCACTTTCTTTCCTAACTGCTGTTCTTCAGATTGCATAACATCTATTGGTTTAACTTCAGGTTCACTGGCTCTTCCTCTGTCGTCTCCATTCTGCTGCGAGCCCCTCCAGTGACTTTTTTATTTCAGATTTTGTATTTTTGGGTTCCACAACTGCCATTCAATTCTTTTTCGTGGTTTCTGTTTCTCTGTTCCGAATGTCAGTCTTTCTTACCATTTTACTTTTACCTCATGGATTATAGTTACAATAGCTGCTTTAAGTCATTAATGATTCCCCAAGTCTGGGTGGTTTTAGGGTTATCTGTGAGTTGTTTTTTCCTTTGAGAATGGGTCACATTTTCCTGTTGTTGTTGTTTTGGGCGGGGCTGGGGGGGAGGTGGGGATATGTCAAGTAATTTTGGGTTGTATCCTGGACAGTTTGTTATTTTGTGTCCACTTTGGGTCTGTTAAATAATCCTCTGGAGACTGTTGAGATTTATGTATTTATTTTAAGGCAGGCAGTCTCCTTGGTTAGGTTCAGACTGCAAGTTCTGTGTTGTCTTCTGTGGGTGGTCATTCTAGTGTCCGTTCAGTTTCCAAAGCCTTTGCTGTGTCCCTCTGGCTCTGTCCACACGTGTGCCCCTCGGGTTAGTCTGAGATGGCAGCAGGGTCAGTCTAGGGGGTTCTCAGAGCCTCCGCTGGGCTGCTTTGGAGCTGTCCTGCATGCTCAGAGACAAGCCTGGGGTCACTGGGCTGGCTTGTTAGGGGCCACAGATTGTTCCATCAAGCAGAGCTCTTCAAGACCATCTAATATTGACCTGGCTGAGGAAACAGGTCCAGGAAGGTTGAGTGATTAGTCTGAGGGACTGTTACTCAATGGGCAACATACAGAGAATTGGACCCTTCAGAGACACAGCTTTGAAATGGAGAGCTCTCTGCACAGCCTAGTTGGATAAAACTGGGCTGTTTTTCTAGTTGCTGTTTCAAATGAATGATTTACTAAAGACCATCATCATTGTTATATAGATAAAGCTATTGATTTTGGGATATAGGTTAGATTTAAAATCCTCTTTAATAGCCCAGGTTCAATGAAACAAAACAGAATCATGTATTGATTTTTTTTTTTTAATACTAGTTTTCTTGATTAATTTGGTCATTTTTTAAAAAAGAGCCTACATTTTAATGCCTTCTTGCTTGTTGCCTTTATTTTCTGGATAGAAATATAGCCGAAGGTCAGGTCCTTCTTAATGAAACTGCCGAGCCAGAGTGGGAATAGGCTTCTCCTTTGCCACCTAATACAGTTCGCCTTATTATTACATGGGATTATTTAATCCAGAGCAGTGGGAAGCGTGCCTGAGTTGTGACCCCCAATTAAAGAGTCTCGGAGCTCACTTCTTGCCCTGACAAATACAGAGTTGCCGCGTGCTTCCGGCCCTGCTGCCTGCTGTTACAGAGAGAGAGAGTGGGGCATAAATGTCGTATTTGCTCCATCTGCAAGTGTTGTAATAAGTTATTCAAAGCTCAGCACAGGACCAACCAGAGCGTGCCTCCCTCTCCCTTCCAGCACGTTTTCCTGCCCATCAGATGGATGCTCCTCTGTTGGAGTCTTTGGAAGGTTCTGGTGTCTTTTGTTTTAATTGGCGGGCTAGAGCCGACTCCTACAGTGCAGTTTTCATTAGAGAGGGGCTGGAGAGAGAGAGTGTTGGAACAGCCCTCCAAGCCCAACCATGAATATTAAACATAATACAATTACAGCTTTCTGACCAATTATTTTTCTTTTCAACGGGGAACGTTGATGAAATACGCGCTAGATGGGGACTCACATATCTACCATTGGATTCTTTTTGCCCTTGGAATCGGTCGCCTTGGCATATATCTGTGCCTCTTTGCTGTGCTACCTGTCTCCCAGCTTCGGGTATTTGATTTGAGTGCTGAGGACACAGGTTATGCCAAGGCCCACTGCTGTTCAGGTTGGGGCTGCGCACAGTCAGATGTCCAAGGCAGACCCGGGCTCTGAATGTGGATTTGCATGGCTCATGTGGCCTTCCAGAAGCCAGAGCGATGCCTCTGAGATGTTGCATAAATGCTTTTCCCTTTTCCCTGTGGGGAGACGCTCAGGTCTGTTTTGGCCCATTTTTGTTTTCTTTGGTGATACAAACGCACAAATGCTGCATCTTTTGGTGTATTTGTGTATTTTGTTTGGAGCCATCCGTGCTATCTAAATACAATAGGAAAACAGATGGCAAACTTTGAACTTCTGGACCAAATTTGTGTTTGCCTTTGTTTCCTAAACAGCCAAACTGTAAATTACAGAGCATAAATATTTCACGGAGGGGTTCTTAATGAAAGTCACCATGGCAAAGTAGACCCGTATTAACCAAATATGCGCTGGAAAGTATTGGGGCTAAAATGTTCTTTTCCCTTGTCCTTTTCAGGTCCCCATTAGTAAGCGGTGCAGCTGCGGTGGCTCTAGGCTGCGTTCCCTTTACAGCCCTGTACTTCCCCCTTTCTCACCCACCAGTGCCTAGATAGTGTTTCTGAGTGCTGGCAGGGGGAGACCCTGGTTTGCCAGCACATTGTACGTTCTCTCTGCATCTCTCCAGGCCCACCTCCCTCGCTGGGAAGTGGGGGATTGAGGCTTGCTGGAGTAACAGAGGCCCCATTAATATGCATCGCCTAGTTGGTTGCATGTCCCAGCCAGGAGGAATTCATGGATCTTTCCTCTGTGCTGAGATTACATCTGTATTTGAAACAGAATATCTGTATGGGGGTGTGTGTAAGGTATGTGTGCAGTTTAGAGAAACAGAAGGCCTGTGCACGCCCCCAGGTGACCCTCCCATCATGAATGAGCTCTTTTCTGCGACAACACAGCAGTGTCCAGAACGAAAGGTAAACACTACCGTTATTCCCTCTTTATTCCCCAAGGTAACCGCAGCCAGTTTGCATTTGTCCTTTCAGAATCTTCTCTTTAAATTTTTTCAGTTTTACTTAAACAAGTAATCTGCACATTCAAAATTGAATTAAATAGGGAGAAGTCAGTCTTCCAGGGACAGGGAGCCTTTTCTGAAGCGTGTCTGCATGTGCACAGCGCACGCCCTCCCCACTGCCACGTGCTGGGCCCGTGGTGGACCCGGCGGCGGCGTTTGGGGATGGCTGCCCGTCAGTGTGCGTGTGCACAGATCTGCCTCATTCTAATGGCTGCACAGGGCTCCACCGCGATTGCTTGACCTCATACTCGGGTGACTGAGCTCGTTGACTGCCATCCAAACTCACCACCCCCTGAACGTTTCTTGTTTTTCCTGCCAGTCTGATCATCACTCCTTAATAGGCAGTGTCTCTTTTCCTTAGGTTTCTTTTAAGACTTCTTTTGGCTGTTTCCACTTCCTGATACTCTTAGATAGTATTTCTGTTTATTGCAATTACTGCTTATCATGTGTGTAGCATATATTGAGTTTTGCTTTGTGACCTGTTCAAAGCTCTTCTGAGTAGGTGGGCTTGTCCTGTATTGGGTCTTACTTAAGCTGTCTGTCTCCTCGTGCTAGGTTTAGTGTTTGTCACTTTGTGGCCTGTGCATGGGCTCCTCCCAGTATTTTGCTGCATCACTTTCAGAGTATCTACCAGTAGATCACCTTGAGTCCTTTTCTGTTGAAAGAAAAAACAAAAACCTCTTAATTATGCGTTCCTATTTGGTAGGTAAGCTGGTATACAACTTCCGGTTCAAAATAATTAAGAGTGTAGGACATGGACCATGTTTCAGACAGTCCCTTCTCACCACATTTTTGGTGTCGAGCGTATGCTTTTGGTCACACTGAGCATGCTAGTGTTATGTTTGCCCAGCGCCCCTGCCAGCTGAGTTCAGTTCACCTGTACATACATTTTGCCACAGTCAGTTTCTGCTCTTGTGTTTTATTTCAGGAGCTAAGTATGTTGGAATTTCTACTGGGTAAGAGATTTCCATCTCATCTAATTTATCCTGATATGGAAGTTCACATACTTGTATAAAAAGTTTTTAAAGAGGTTCTTAAATTCAAATGACTGCCCTGCCCAGTGTTGCCCTAGGTTGGAGCATTGTCCCATACACTGAAAGGCGGCGGGTTCAATTTCCATTCGGGGCATGTACGGGAGGCAACTGATGTTTCTCTTCTCCTCTCTAAAATCAATAAAAAGCATATCCTCGGGTGAGGAGGAAAAAAAGGAATTCAGATGATGATGAGGCAAGTGGTTCTTTCCAGACTTTCGGTAAGAGTATGTGGCCACTGGGCAGTTACTTCTCACAATTCTGTTCTACTTGCTCAACTGTAGGTGCTCCCTTCCCAAATTTCAGCAAGATGGTGATGAACAGAGTTGAGTTAAATGTTATTTTCCCAACCAGGTAAGGGTTCAGGTGGTAGATAAGTAACTAATTTACCTCTTACCCTTAACAGAATATTATACCACCAGCAAAATTTCCATGCTGAGAGTTAAACTTACCCTTAGGATAGCCGACATCCATGTAGGGGTGGAGTCAGAGCTCAGCTTCCCTCTGGATGGGCACCCAGGACAGGAGTCTTCCCTGTTGAGCAGATAAATGAACAATAGAGCAGCTACTGGAGTTGTCCTGAGTCTATCTTGTTCTATGTGCTTTTAAATCATTCTTTGCTTCTTGACCTCCTATGTACAACAGTGTACTAAGGAGATAATATTTTATATCGGCGTTTAGATAGTTGCAACCACAAGGGTTTTGTGGTCTTTGTTTTCATAGGACTGTTGTTCATAAACCAACCAGCACAGCCAAGGAGGGATTTGTCATTCCCTTTCACTCTAACCTCCATGCTCATCTTGGGCCTTCCAGGGTGAGAATCCATGACCTCCGCACCAACAAGATCGCCCTGTCGTTCTCTGCCCACCAACTTGGAGTCTCCGCAGTCCAGATGGATGACTGGAAAATTGTCAGCGGGGGCGAGGAGGGCCTGGTCTGTGTGTGGGATTATCGGATGAACCAGAAGCTGTGGGAGGTGCATTCCAGGTAAGGCTGTTTCTTGGTGTTTCTAGTAATAATAATAATAATGATAATACTAGTCAACCTCTGAGCCAGGCATTGTGCTCAGTGCCATCTAGGGATTATAGTCCTCACCATAACCCTGTGAACTAGCTGCTGCTATTATCTCCATTTTTCAGATGAGGAAACTCAAGCTCAAAACTGGAGCTGGTCAGTAGAGAGGCATTTCCTCTCTTACATTGTGAAAACTGCCCTAATTCATTCCCAGCTCTGGTAGAGACCATAGGGACTCCCTGACTGAGGTGTAGGCGAGACAGTGTGGAGGCAGGGCTGGCCAGGCCTACCTCCCTCCACATCGGTCTCAACAGTAGGATGTGGTTTTCTGCCCATTTCATTATACTGTTTGGAAGGGCACTTAGGACTGAAAGTATTCAGGCTTGAACTTGGAGGGATGTGGAGTCTCAACCTTTAACTTGAATATTCAGGAGAGAAATAGGTACTCTCCTGAGCTCAGGCAGATGGCTTCACAGGTGTAGGTACATGTATATGAGGGGGGCCTAACTGGGTAAACATTTTCCAGCTTGCTCCTGACCTTTAAAACAGGGATCATCCCACCTCACCCACATCCACCCAGAACCTGCTTTTGAGGCAGGTAGGATGAAAGGCCACAAGCTTTCTCCCCAGCTGTCCCTTAGTACCATTGTAAAGAAATGTTCAGGGACAAGCAGACTGTGAGAATAGAGGAGAGCATGCACAGATGCCTGCAAATATGAACTGAGCTTTTGTTCCCTCTCTAATGCAACCATGATAAATTAGACCCGTGAGAAGGCAGCAGTTTTCATTTTAAGTACAAGAGGTGGCCAGGTTAAAAGAAGAATTTGGTTTCTTCCTTGGAGGGCAGTGCTAGAGAGTGCCTCGGCCAGCAGCGTTTTCAGGCTACAGCCCTGGATGGCGCCTGCACTGCCTGGCCCTGTCCCACAGGGCAATCCACAGACCAGTCCAGAGGCCCTTTTGTGGACTTCGGTGGTGATGCACTGAGTTGCCACCAGGTGGTGCCAAAAGGCAACTAAAACTCCCACACATTGGACTCCCAGCAGTGTTTCCTTTGAGGAATCCCTTTTAATTGTTCAAGAGCTGGCTCCCCTTGGTCTCTAGGACAGTTCCCTAGGCCCAGACTCCAGCAGATCTCATTTTCTCTTCCTGAAACGCTGCGTGCCCTTGGATGAGTCATTCTGGTGAAGCCAGGTAAGTAGGGTCTTCCCAGGATTGTGGTGCTGTCCCAGTCTCCGCCCTCCAAACTTGTTTGTAAATGCACGTCCAGTTCTACCCCTGTTCAGTGGCTTGTCCATCATAGGTCACCGTTCTCACCAGAACAGGGCTGATACCTCTTCAGTCACCTGCCACACTGTTCGCTGCCATTCCGCTGCTCTTCGAGCACTGGTCCAGCTGTTGCTCGGGCAGTTTCCTGTCCTGCCCCACTGTCCACTTTAAATTCTCCAGGTCCTCCCTCCTGTTGGTAGTCCATCTGTCAGCCAGGTGCGGTCTGGCTGGTGGATTCCTGGTCCCTTGTCCTCCTTGAGTCCTGCTCACACCCATCCTCTGCTCTCCATTCCTCCTGCCTTGCTGGGCTCCCCCAACTTATTTACAAGAGACTCCTTTGTTCTAGCCAAGAAGCCTGTGCCCTGCTGGCCCAGCCTGAACAGACCCTGCCCACCCATGGTCTCGTGCCCTCCTCCTGGTGCTGGATTCTGTCCCATCTGTGTGGCTTACACTGTCTCTCATGCTCTGGGAACACTGTAAAGCTCCTTTTGCCCACCCTGTATGTCTTACCTTCTTGACCAGTTAGGCCTCTCTGATGGCAGGCATCTGGACATTGTTTCCCAGTGTTTCTGGCTCCGTGCTATGGTCACAGTGGGCAATGGACAAAGCCTTTGCTACACATATTTCAAGCCATTTTATGGCAAGGTTTTCTGAATGTGCTTTCACAACCTAGACCACCTGTGTCACATGGATCCTCCCAAATTTAAAAGGGGGCCTTTTATGGATCTGCGTGCCCGCAGAGAGCTTGAATGGTCCAACACCAGCCTGGGGGTGGGCAGAAATGGGGGTGTTCTCTACTGTGTGCTGCTGAGTTTATCTTTGATGTCCAAAACCAAGTTGGTGGGGGCATCCAGACTTGTGTACAGAGTGGGACCTGGCTCAAACTAACTTGGGGAACAACGGTGAGACACCATCCCCTGGGGCCCAGTTTTCTCCTCTGTACAAGAAGCACTGGCTTGCTCAGAGGGCTCTAGGAGCCCTTGCTGCGCTCTACTCCTGAGGTTGTAGGGCTTACCTTGACAAGAGCGCTCTCCCCGTGTGTTCCAGGCACCCCGTCCGCCACATCTCCTTCAACAGCCACAGCCTCATCACGGCCAACGTGCCCTACAGGAGGCTAGTGCGCAGTGCCGATCTAGACGACTTCACCACACACCGCAGGTCAGTGGGCTGGATGTGCAGAAAAGATAATTCCGATTGATTTTAGAATAGAATCCACCCCCACAGTGCCACAGTACTCCCTCCTGGATGCCCCTAGGCGCAGCCACATACAGATGCAATAGAGTGAGTGATGTTAGCAATTAATATGCTAAGTGCCAGTTTTAAGTGGTTTCCCCACAGTATCTCTTGGCTGCCTGGGTGGGGACACAGGGAGGGCTGGCCCTATAAGCTGAGGCTGGTGGGGGTTAGCATCCTAGTCACAGGCAGAGCCCAGGCCTCTGAGTTTAGTCACCCTGCTGGGTGGCTGGCTGGGTAACTCAGCTGCCAAACAGGAGACCCCCATGCTGGTGCCTCCTCTTACTAGCTTGTTGACCTGGCTTCTAAACAGCCTCTCCTCCTAGCACTTAACTCCCACCACCAAACTTGTCCACTTACTCGTTTACCTCTAGTCCCGGGATCCTGAGTGTCCAGTGCACTGTGGGCCCAGAGGACAGATTTAAAATGAATCACTGTCCTGTCTCAAGTGCCTGCTGCACGGACAGAAGCCTCAGGGCATGGCCCTCTTTGTGCTCTTTCTAGACACTGGGGGCTGATCCGTGCCTACGAGTTCGCGGTGGACCGGCTGGCCTTTCAGAGTGCTCTTCCCATCTGCCGCTCATCCTGGGACACCACGGCAGGCCACAACTATGACCTTGCGCTCTCCTTTCCCTATGACAGTACTTAGGGAACAGAGAAAATGGGAAGAACCAATTTTATGAATTTGAAAACAACAGAGGAACTCTGCACCTGGTTTCAAAGGTTTGGGGGAAGCAGGCAAGCCCAGGGTACACTTGCGTGACACCCACCTTCCTGAACTGCCTTCACTTTTCCCATCTTTGTCAGGCTTGTTTCATCTCACTGGTCCCTCTCTCCTACTTTGAGAACCGCACACTGATGACTCAGATGTAGACCTCCTTCCCACAGCCCCCTCCCTCTAGCTCAGCCCTTCCTCTGCTCCCACCTGTCTGAGGAGTGACACCCCCAGCAGGGTTTCCATCTCTCCTGATGCCTGTGGATCTTCCACATCGTCATGGACACTACAGGGCAGGGCCTGGCTGCTGCTGTGGCTCTGGCCTGGGGTTATCACTGTGAACAAGGCCCTTCTGGGCCCTGCTCCCACCTGCTGGCCGTCTTTCCAGCCTCAGACCCTTCCTTTCCCCTTTGGGTGTGCTAGTCTCTGAGCCTACAAGGCTCCACCACCCACCCATCCTTGGATGAGATCAAGTATTCACTTAGGGTGGGCTTCCCTGACACCATCCCCACCCAGTGCAAACCTGGGGTTAGTAGTACTTTTCCACAGAGCTTTACCACAGTTTATATATTTATACCATTATCTCATTAAGGACTATTTTGCTTACTACTGCATCGACAACATGTGATACAAAGCAGATATTTTCTATATAGTCATTGAATAAATAGCCATCCTCCAAGTGAGACGGCTGCGATTCTACAATGGAGAATGGGTGAGAAGTGGGTGAGCTATCTGAGGAACCACCGTATTAAACAACATGAGAGAACTGTTCATTTGATAAATAGTTTCCATTTCCAGAGGATTAAGGGGGTGAACTGCTGCATTACTCTTGATTTACAGTGTTCGCAGCAGCAGCCACCTAATAGGCCTTCAAAATAGAAACAAAATCCACATTCCTAGTGGGTTAGCAACAGATCAAAGCAGCAAAAACACTTAAGCATTAAGATTTACCGTGTATATGGAATTTTGTACCTTTCAAATACCCATAGACCATGCACAGAAATTGATACCATACAGGCCATATTCAGTGACCCCCAATCCTAATACAATAAAATTGAGACCATCAGAAAGCTAAATAATGGAAACATAAACCTGCAAATCCCAAATGCTCTGAATTAACTTGGTTTTAAAGAAGGAAATCAAGGTGGGAAATTATGAACTCTAGACCTGGGCAGTGAGGAAAGCACAGCACCAAAACCCAGGGGGTGAGGCCAGAGCGGGCCTGGGAGGAGCTGCAACTTTAATAGAACTTACCTTCCCTAAGCTTTCTGGGGGGACAGCTAACAGTGATCCCAAAGGAAGGGGGGGAAGGCATTCCAACAATAAAAACACATTATTGAAATAGAAAACTGAATAGTAAAGTTTCATTTTGGGAAGACAAAACACAAGTCTTGATCAAGAACGATAAAAGGGAGCACAAGGGACTGTCAGGAACAGGAAGGGAGCCACTCTAGGCACAGACGGAGCACTTTCAGCATGGGGATGGTTTGGCCACGGGAGTGGAGCTTCTCTTCCATCCACGAGCGTGTCAAGTCGGGCACCATGCACCAGTACTCAGAGCCTCAGCACCTCCGAGTCCTGAAGGCTGTCGTTAAAAATTCCACGTCCAGCTGGGAGGCCAGTGGGGCCAGATGAAGAGCCCTGCTTCCTCTCAGGCTACCTTCCTGGGGAGGCAGCATTGGCCCAAAGGCTCTCTGCTTCCTTTCAACCCAATTACTTCATAAATGAAGCCGCTCTGCAGTTAGCAGTGAGTATTTACTCACTGTCATGCGGGTGTCTGACTCCCTCCGACCTCCCTTTTTATAAGGTTTTCATCTCTTGTAGTCTTAATGCAGCCCTGCCACTGGGCAACCTGTTTCCTTTTAAGAAACATTCTTGTCAGTCTGATTTCACAGTTCATTTCGCAGGTATGTTCTCCCTGCCTAGCTGGGCAGAAATTTTACATAATTAAACAGTTTAAAAGAAATCTGACCAGGCAATTGTATTAAAATTAAAAGTAGTTTTAAACTATTGTTATTCACTGCCAACAGCCAGTCCAGTGTAAAATGTTACACAGGCGGGTTTTCCCCAACCTGTTTATAACTCATCTCCCATTCATGAAAAGCGCCTGGGTTTTGCGCAGGAGAGGTTGTCGGACCCCAGCCGTCCTCTCTAAGCCCGCCACCCTCGATCAGCTTCCTGCTGTAGGCTTCACCTCCCCGAGGAATCGGCCGGACGGGGAGAGGATCAGCGCCCCTTTGTAAACCGCATTTACCCAGCAACAGAGTCCAGCCCTGGCCCGTGTCCACCCCTCCTGTTCGGCCCGCCTTACCTTTTCCCCGCTGGCTGTTTTCGGGGAGCTTCTCCCCATGTTCTGGGTTGGTAGCAGATTTGCCTTCTGCTTCTCAGACTCCCTCGCTGTCTCCCCTGCAGACAAGAGAGACTCATGTGCTGTGGGAAAACCAGAGGGCCAGACACCAGCGCTCTTGTGTCTTTGTCTGAAAACATCGTGACTTTTGCTTTCTACTTCATAATGTCTGGGTTGGTTCTAATATTAAATTTTTAAACTTTTTTGTTGCTCAGATGATTTGCCACCTCTGGCATGGTGTACGGTGACAGTCCCCTGCCTGTCGCACCTTGCATGGTGGCCTGGTTCTTCCATCCACGGTCATCTCTCTCAGAACCACCACTACAGGGTTCTTAGCCCAGGAGCCAAGAAACCCACAGAATTACATGTGAAATTGTACATTAGCGTTTTCTGAGAATTTCGTCGCTGCCGCTAGACTGCTTCGACCCAAGCCCCGTGCTGCCATTACCCAGGCGTCACCTTCCCACAGCAAGGGGAAGCCTCACCCTGGCTCCCCGGGTTTCAGCCGGAGGAACACCGAGTTCCCCTAAGCGGGAGCTGGGGTCCTAGGGAAGCCTGCAGCCCCCAAGAGGAAGTCTTCCACGTCCCCTCGGGAACTGGAGGCGCACTCCGCAGTTAAATGACAAACACTGGCCACTGCTGCTCTGCCTGTCATTGTAAAAGAAATGGCTTCTCCTGGAGAGGCCCCAGCCTTGTGAGCTGGTGGCTGGCCATTACGGGCCAGTCTGTGGCAGCAACTCAGACAAGAGCTGCCTCCTTCCGACTCGGGCCCCTGCTTCGGGCAGCAGCTGCGGCCCCGAGCTCGCGGAGCTGGCCGCACAGACCCGCCCGCCTCACCCTCACGCCGCCCCACCAGATGGTTGCCTGGCTGCCGCTGCAGGGCCTGCGGCGACTTGGCCGGGGCTGCCTCCCTCTCGCTGGGCTGCGCGGGTGCCCTGTGGGCGCTGCTCGCTCGGCTCTGGTGTTGAACGTGGCTTCCAGCAGTAGGCCTGCGACGTCTGGGCACCGTGGACCTTCTCTTTCTCTGGGAAGGGAAGGAGCGCTGCCACCACCCCAGAACTGACCCCGTCGTGTCCTATCTTCCCTGTGCAGTGCCAGGCTGCATGCTGCCTCTGTATGTCTCTAAGTTGGAGGTGGCAGCAGACTGCTTCTCAGCACATCCCGTGACCTTACTTCTGCCCATGAACCACTCCTGGGGTACAGACCAGAACCTAGTCTCTGCTGACTCTGTGGTCAGCGAGCGGGTCAGAGGGACAAGCAGCCATATATGTGGCCATCAGTGCTCAGTCCAGCCGGGCCAAGTTCATGCACGCAGAGCCCCTGCTGGCACGTGCTGGATTCTAGGAGAGCCCAGGGACAACAGCAACTCAGATGCCCTGGGAAATGAGCTTAAAACCCTGGCCCTCCCACTCAGTTCCCCAAGGCCTTCCCAAGGTCACCATGTGGGAGGACAGCTTGCAGAGCAGGTGTTCACAGAACTCTTGCCAAGGCAACTAGTATTTTTAACTCTGCAGCAGCCTCCGTAAGTCACTGTGCCGTTCACAGTGACGGCTCAGCTTCAGCCTTGTCAGTGCAGCCAGTGAGGGCAGGTACAGCTGCTCAGTGACAGGATCGGGTCCGTCTGTGACCTGTCTCCCGTTAGCGAGGCACAGAGAGAGCCTCCCAGTGCCTTGGACCAGGAGATAATGGAATTGTTTTGTTAAAGTCTAGCAATAATCCCTTCCCTACGAGGGTGCTTGGCCAAAATTGGAAGCTTGCTGTTACCTTACCATTGCCTTATCCATAATTCATGTTGAACATGGCTGCAGAATGTGTCCCCTGAGCTCCTCCCATTAGCTTTCCATTACACAGCCCTTTTGTAAACCTACCAAATGGCCGTGTGTGTGTCAAATTGCCATACTCGTCCAAAGGCTGACTTCTGGTAACTCTCCCCCTTGGTGAGATGGGCAGAGTAGGACAGGATCCCACCTTCGACTTGATTCCTGGGTAAAGAACAAACAGAGAAGTGACCTCACCCTGCCACCTGGACTGGGCCCCTGCCTGGTCTCCCCCCTCCTCCACCCCCCAGAGCCTGAGGCCCTCACATCCCGGACTTATCAGCTTCCTTCAAATATTTGACTTTGCCTTGATTTCTGCCCACTTCCTCATAGTCACTAGTGCAATTCCTGATAGAAGGGAGAAGGGAGGTTGCTTACAAATGCATCTGTTTGACTTATCACGTGGCTATTTTAGAACAAATTTCAGAACAAACATAACCTGCTTCGATGAGGTGGCCCATCCAGGGGCCTGGGGGTTGCGCCCGCTCTGGGCCTATGCAGCCAGCAGGCCCCTCCTGGGCGCATCCGCTAGTCCAGGCCACCTGCCTGGGTCCTCTGCACGCACCACACTGCCAGATGGCCACCTCAAGGCCTGTGCCCAGAGCAACAACCCTCAACTTGTTAATCAAAGGCCAGCAGCCCCACTAGACGGTGGGGAGTTAACCTACCCTTTCTGGGAGGTTTGTACCAACTCACAGCCAACCTGGTCACTCCCCAAACTACTGAAAGAGCAAAAGCCCAGCCTCACAGACATGGCACCCTGGAGCCAGGCGGGGGGGCGCCAGGCGAGCGCTGCAGCCCAGGCTCTGGTGGAAACCAGCCCTAACCCTGCCAGTCAGAGGACACCGTCGGTGACTGAACAAATCTCTCCTCCGAGCAGCAGGGGACTGGGCTCCCGGTGAATCAGTCTCACATTAATTAGCTGTTTAAGGTAAGCGGCGACCCAAAGCTTCAGAGACATCACGCTGGGCCCCCTCTGTGGTCTGAGAGAACATCTGATGTGAGCCCACATCTCCCAAACTCAAACTCCAGGCGCGGGGGCTGACGGATTTATTATTTATAAAAGCACTTTACATTAATGAACTGCCTTTGTTGAGAAGAACAAAACTGAAGCAAACTGGGAGCGTCCCAGAAAATCCAGGCCTCTGGTGGCCCAGCCAGCGATCCTGCTGCTCAGTGACCCCCCGGGGTCTGTCTCACTCGGCATGGGGAGGGGACCCTTCCTGTGCCAGATCCCCCCAAGCCTGGCTGTCCAGTGATTCTAGATCCCTCCTCCTGCTGGCAGCCAGGAAACCCAAGGGCATGAGCAAAATCATCCCCAGCGGCAGGGGAGCGGGAGGGAGATCACATCCCATCCCCCCACCCCCAGAAAACTGCCTGGCTGTCCGCTTCCTGGTGTCAGGGTTGGTCTTTCCCACTAGACTGTGGCCCCTGGAGGGCAGGAAGCGGACGCCTTCGCCCCGACCTACCACTCTGGGTGCCCAAACGGTTGTCGAATTGAGTCTAGGATGCAGAGCTCCAAACAGGCCTCCAGCCCGTCTTTGTCACTTACCCAGAGTTGGGCCAGCAGCCTGACCATCCGTCTGCCAGCACTGGGGGGCGTGGAGGCCGCAGTCCACCTCGTGAGACCTTGGTGGCGTGTCCCAGGCCAGCGTTCCTCAGGCACAGCTGGGTTCAGAGGCCCTGGCCCATCCTGCCGGGTGCTTACTGACAACAGGATGCGGGCAAGAGCCTCCGCCAGCCGGGTCTGCAGCCCTGGGGACTCCTGCCCTCCACACGGCCCCCGCTTTTCAACTCACCTTGCCACTGTTTTGGTTTTTAAGTTTAAATTCCGACGGTAGCTTCATCCTAAACAACACATTTGCTTCTGCGTGCGTGAGACAGGTACGGGGTTAAGGTGATGCTCTGTGAAGAGAAAGCTGGGGGCCAGGCCAAGAACAGATGAAAGACCGCACGGCCTGCTGTCGGTCCCTTGTCGAGCCTAAACCCCAACACGTGCGTATAACAAGTACTGTAAAGCACACTTGGGTCAAAACTATGAATTGAAAATTCCAGAATGCAAATAATAGCAGCTGCCAGTTCCCAGGAGAACTTTCTTACAAGCCTGGGACGGTGCCTCTCAGCAAGTGTCGGTGAAGGAACCAAGAGCATCGTTTGTGACAACTGGAAGGTCTCCTGGAGTGCAAACCGCGGCGCTGCCTCCAGCGCCAGCAGCCCTCTGCTGACTCACGGGCCGCAGCCCCCACCTGACACGAACCACCTGTGCTCCCCCCCCCCC